GCAGCAGCGAAGGGTCTCCCCAGTGGGAGAAGCCTGTTCAGCATCCCGGGGTGTCTGCTGCCTGCGGCACCGGTCGCTCCTACGTAAATGCGTAGGGGAGCTGAGGGCAGGCTTTGTTCCCCTTCCTGGTGGCTGTTCATGGCCCTGCCATGGGAGGGAGGAGAACACGGGTGTGCACACACCTGTGCATGCACACACATTGCTGCGCTGGTGTCCTCGCATGTGCAGAAGCACCACGTGAAAAGGGATTTGCGAGTGGAAGTGTGGAGTGAGAGGAGGGAGAGAGCATTTCTGTGGAGTAGGGGCAATTCCCACAGAGCTCAGACGTTTGCCTTTAGGCGTGTGAAGCCGTTACCGGTCCTGTGGTACCATCAGCCACTCAAAGAACTGAAACAGTTTGAAACATTCCGGTGGGCAGGTGATGGGGCTGGAGTTGCGGACGGAAGCTCAGGCTCGCGTAGCGCTCGCAGCGCCGCTGCTGGCCCTTCGCGTTGTCGTCCCAAGGAGGCCAGGCGCGTTCCTGTTCCCGGACGCACACGGCGGTGTTGCGGGGGCTTTGGCTCCCACTGCAGAGGAGCTGCTTTAGGTGAAATTCCTTTCAGTTAGCGGAGAAGCGGCTCATCCAGAGCAAACACGGCTTTGCGGTAAAGGGCTTGGCATCGGCTCGCGGCTGTTGACAGCGACGTGAAGCGGTTCTTGCGACACTTGGTGAGGTGCTTGGGGAGCTGGTTGCCAGGTTTGCTTAACCGTTGGTACAAAACGGCCGCTTCCTCTCTCGCCGTGTAGTGGGCCAGCACAATCCCACCCCGGCTCGCCTGCTCCCTCAGGCGCCGTTTCCCAAGGTTCTGGTCAGAACAGATTTGGGAGTAGCAGGAAAAGGGAACGGAGCTGCCCACTGGTAATTTTGGCCTTTGCTTTTAGAAAATAAGCCTCGGGCTGTTACACGATCCCTGAGTTTCACTGCAAGGAATCAGCCCTGGGGCGGTGGTGCCGTGTGGGTCCTGACCCTGCCTGTGCTTGCGGCGGCAGCTTGGCCTCCAGTTTCGACTGGGGGGAGGCCTGGAAAAAGGGTCAGTTGTGATTCAGGAGTAAACCAGGGAATACGGGAAGATCCCCAGAGCGAAGCCTGAGGATTTCACACCGTTACTTCCTAGGAAAAGACAGGGAGCGGGCAGTGGAAGCGCCGCAGTGGAGGACAGACGGGCAAGGGGTGCTCATGTGATCACGCCGCTTTTCCGTTTCCTTGGGTGAGCTCTTTCGGGGCAAGAGGAAGGAACTAGTTCCACGAGGCGACCCAAACACAGGTGAGGCCACGAGAAGCCTGGTGGGCAGTGCCCATAACAGCTCAGGGGAAGCGGAACGCGAGCACGCTGTGACATCGCTCCTAGCCCCAGCCTCCTCGCTTTCGCTGGAGCCCCGGTTATTTTGCTCTCCGACTACAGGTTTCCCGTCGCGTGCGCCACACACCTGTTTGTGGGTCCCTGTCCCAGTGAGTTGCCGGGGCCGGGAGCAAAGCCTGGCTCGTGCTGGAGCGCCCGGACGGCTCTGCCACTGGGATGGAGACGTGGTGGCTTGGGGGGGATGGCAGGGGGCAGCGGGCAGCTGCCTGGCCTCGGCTCTGCGCTGGGCGTTTCAGGAACCAGCCAGACCTTGTGTCCCGTACGAGGGTCGGATCTGTAGCGCGTGTTCAGCCGTAAGCAGAGGGGGAAACAGCCGGATTGCGCCCGTGGAACAGCCCCGCTGCAACGCAGAGAAATGGACCGAAGGGTGACAGTAACTGCTGGGCAGCTCCCAGCTGGTGCTGCTGGGGCTTCTGCCCCCCCCCCTTTTCTCCGCTGAGCAGCCGAGACAGCTGCCCGCGTCACGGGCCATGTCAGCTCCCCCCTGGGGCCAGATCCGCCAAGGCTGGCAGTAACTGCTGTGTGCGGCCTTCGTACGGAGCCTGGACAGACTGCCAGTGGGCAGCCCCCTCCCCATGGGAGGCAGGAAGAGGATTGGGATGCAGTGAGGCCGAGCAACCTGCCCTGCGTCAGGCAACCCGCATCCCAGCCCGGCTCCAGGGGTGCATCCCCAGCAGTCCCTGGGAAATGAGAGTTTGGGAGTTCCTTCCCGAGTCTGACTCAGGACTTAGCTCATTTGGCAGATCACAAAGGAGGATCTTTTAGAGGGGAAACTGCTACTTAAAGGGATATGCTCAGGAAAGACGATGAGGTCCTGCAGCGACACTCATCCTGTTAAGCACTTCTCCCCCTCCAGGATCGTACCCCAGGCACCCGGATCCTGCGGATATGAAGTGACTGAGCCGAAGTGAGGAAGTCAAAGCACTCCTCGTGTTTAAACCTCAGAACCTCTTGCTAGCTTAGGGGAGAAAACCTTCTGAAGTTCGAGTGTGATGGCCCTGGAGGCGTGTGGCAGCTGCTTGAGCTGGCTGCTGATACCACTGGCTCTTTGGAGTATTGTTGTTAACATCCTACTCTACTTCCCCAGTGGGAAAGCTCCGGACGCTGCTGGTTCCCAGCTCCCCAACTACGTGTGGTATTTTGAAGGGATCTGCTTCTCAGGTGGGATGGTAAGTGTGGACTCTGTGGGGTTGAATGAATCGCATTCTGCTGCGAATCCTGCTGGGCTGCTGTGTAGCGCTCTGATTGTGCTTCCGAGAGAAGGTGGATCCCTGGCAAAAACATTGCAGGCAGAAAAACGTGCTCAGGCTGAAGATGTGACTGTCCTGGATGCCCTGCTCTGTGTGCTGTTTGATGCCATGTAAGGCATTCTGCAGGGCTGATTTTATTCTCTCTCCCCTGGTGGCTTCTCGTTTATGGCAATTTACGCTCGGATGATGGAGGCAGGCACTGTGTTGGGTTAATCCTCTGCAGAGGTTGAGTTAGAGCTCTTTTACCAAATCAAAATGAAACAACACCTGTAAAAGCTGCTTACAACTGTTGGGATGGTTGGAAGAGCTGTGCGCAGCCCAGTGTGGGGAGGATCAGGTGTCGCTGTCGTTGGGCTAAACGCGGTTATCTCACTGTGATTGGCAGGGCAGGGTTTCTCCCTTACACCTCTGATAAGCTCACCCGCAGTGATAAAGCATCACGGAGTTGCCCACGGCTCATGCTGCTCCACGTGCACATGGAGCTGCAGCCTGGGGACAGGAAGCAGGTGTGGAATGAGGCTGCATGGGCACAGTCAGTCTGAGGAAGGGTCTCATCTGCAGGAGATGTTCTTATGAAGGTGCTGAACTCGGAGAGGTATGAAACCAGGAGACGTTCCTTTGAAATTGGGACGTCTTCCTAAAGCAGAAGAAAACCCAAATCTTTTCTAGAAGAGGAAAAAACTATTGGGCAGAGAATTTGAACAGAAGAGCATGGCTGAAAATTTGGGATGCGGTTAACTGCAACAGTGACTGTCATATTTTGCAGCATTTTTAACCTTGGGAGCATTACCAAGTCATTAAAAATGTACATGTTACCCCCTGCAAACAGAGCAGCTTGTCACTGTGTCAGCATCAGTGAAATGTCCTTCCTTTCGTTGGTGTGGGTTCTCTCACTGGAGAGCTTGGTTTTATTCCTTCAGCTTCCCTGGAGTAGCTGTGTCCACGCTCGTAACCCTGTGCAGTGACAGGAGATGCTGTGCCAGGCACAAGGACAGTGACAGCCCCATGAAACCAGCCCGTTCCATGGTGTGCCTTGAGGAACTGTGCCTCCCCAGCGAGCAGCTTTCAGTCTCAGCGTCCCTGCCTCCCCCAGCCGAAGGAGTCTTTGGCTTGGTGTCGCTGACTGGTCGTGTCCCCTCGTAGATCCTCCTGTTGGCAGTGGCTCTGGTGACACTGGAGTGCAGCGTGTTCTACCGGTGCTGCCGGAGCGAGAGCTGTAACAAGACCTACCGGGTGAGTCTGGGCTCGGGGCCTCTCCCCTGCGTTTGTTCCCAGTCCCTTCCTGTTCCCGTGTCTCCAGAACATCCTTCTGCCCTCCCTGCTGCTCTTCCCGCTTCCTTTCGCAGAGGATTCTAAATCAGGTTTCGAGGCCACAGGAAGTGTAGCTCCTTCCTTCTGGTGCCTAAGCAGGATGAGAAAACAAACCTGCGTCCCCACCAGGAACGCTGGTGGCATACCGTGAGCACGCAGAGGGCCCCGGAGTCCCAGTGCAGCACCTCAACCACGCAGCTTCAGCCCTTGCTGGTGTTCCTCGGGAGTTTCGTTCTTCCAGTGTACGCTGCCTGGGATGGAAACGTGTCTAGTGCATGGTTGTCTTTCTCAGTATGTTGGGGAAAAAATCGGCAAAAACACAAGTTAAAAAAAAAATAGTAATCCCCAAACGATGTTGAAGTGGGAGTTGGGAACCTGCCCTCCCCCTGTCTTACTCGTGTGTGCTTCCTGCC